AAAAAAAAAAAAAACATAACAACAAAAAAAAAAAAAAAAAAAAATCAAATGAATGCGATACAGAGTCCTAGATTGATACATTGCTCGTATTTTTTTTTTGGTTTTTATAGTTATTACGCAATAATCAGGAAAGAGCAGTAATACAAGATCGGCACACACACACACACACACACACACACACACACACACACAGTCACACACACACACACACGCTCACACACACGCGCACACACGCGCGCGCGCTTTGTGGGTCTATGAGTTTGAGGAAACGCTGCTTCTGCGGGAGGTGCGGGTTGCAGATGCGAGGGCAATGAGGCGCCTGGTGAGCTCATACTCGCGCTGGTGCAGGTTCTCAATGCAGTCAAAGTGGTCCACGGCAGGCACATCCACCAGCTCCACGGGCATGGAGTGTGCTTGCAGGCACTGCGCATATTTCTCGCTGTGGCGCCGAAACTCTGCTGGCTCGTGTTCGGCAATCGCAAGCACAACCTACAAGTGTGTGTGTGTGTGGGAGGGGGGGTTGGGGAGTGTGCGGGTGTGTGTGATGAGCAGGCAGTGACGCACACACACACACACACACACACACACACACACACACACACACACAACCACACACACACACACACATACAAGTGAACGTGCAAACATACACACACATGCACCACACGCACACACACACAACCACACAACCACAACCTGGCAGTGGAGCGTTGGGTTTGGGTGGGGCTGGTTGATGAGGCGAAGTGGGCTGTACCGCGCAACCTGCTGGTCTGTCAGCTTGAGAGCTTCGTTGGCGTACGATGCCTGCACTGGCGCCAGATCCAACAGTCCGCTCACGCTGAAGATGCCTGTTGGGCGTTGCATGCGCACACAAAGCGCCGTGGGTCACGGGGCCAGTGTAAGTGCATGGCACGATACAAAACCAACAAGCAGAGCAGACCGAACCTTCAAACACACACGCACACACTGTGCAACAGAGTTATCATGCCCAACTCATCGTGTGTACCCTGGA